GTTCCCCATCACAAAGCTGTGATTTCATTAAGGTGAATTTCAGGACATTAATTTTGTGATATATTTATTTGTTGTACTATACTTACAGTTTTTCTTTATATACTATGTATCAACACATTTACATGGATGGTAGGTGGATTGGTGTCAGAAAGTATTTCTTCCCAAAAACCTACCAGGGAACATGTTAACTAGGAAACAAAAAGGGTCATGAGAAATTGTTTAATCTGAGGATCTCATTCTGTTATTTCTTGAAGGATCTCAGGCAAGCTGCCTCCAAACCCAACACAACCCTTTACGTGAAGAAGGGTCTCCTGTTCTCAGTCCTGCTCATCCTTTCTCTGAGCATCCTCTTGTGCTCACTGGTCCTCATTTAGTTGCTGACCATAATGTCCACATTGTCAGCTCCTTTCAGCATTTTGAAGGCTTGTGGCAAGTCCTCCCTCTGCCCACGACTAAAGAGATTCAACCATATGCTTGACAGTTCTTTCAGTCGCAGATTTATTTGGGCTGCTCTCCTGTTTTGTTACTGACGGAGGTCTTGACCAAGTCAGTAACTGAGCTAATCGATCAGAATGCCCCACAGAGAAAGGTGAAACCTACAGCTTCCACACCACCCCCACTGATGCTGCTACCATTGCAGTCAATGTCTTCTATCGACTGACTTTCAACAAGGCATCTCGCTTGAAGTCAGGGGAAGGGGGGGGTTTGGATCGATTGTGCCCATACTGTATGTGAGCAGGCAGAGGTGTTTTGCATTACATAAGGGAGTTGTTTTTTATAGATGGATTGCCTTTAATCCATGCTTAACGAACATTGAATTAGCTATCATTAGTCTACTAACAAAGGCTAGAGGGAAAATAGATCAAAAAAAGGTCAGGTTGCAAAATCCTAGAGGCATTTTATTGCACGTATCATATTACCCCTGTCTTTATTCAGTTTGTCTGAGAAAGTATAAAGTAAGGAGCAATTAAGAGGCATTCCAAAGTGCAGGGATCTAGTCCTAATTCCTACAGATGGGATGAAGGGAGGAGAAGGAATATTGCCATTGAGCAGCTTGATTAGTTTGAGCACTGCTATAGAATCTAAGTTTAATTTTGAGCTCTGGCTTTGTGAATCATGGATCTTTAAAATACAAGAGAGGGAGGTTTTTCACATCAGTTCCATAGCAGTAAAGCATGCCAGAAATCTGCTACTAACTAAAGGTATACACAGAAAAGTATAAAATGCAGCATTGACATTCAAACATGGTGACTACTGCTTTTATCTATATGTGAGCAGTCTTCAGCACTGTTTCAAGCTCCTTGGAAATTTCTGCCATGGCGTTTTCCATGAATTATGCATTATTTTGTTACTAATTTGTTCTTATGAAATCAAACAAAACTACAAAGTTCAAAATGAAACAAGACAGGGAAAAACAAGTTTTCAAAAATGAGAAAAGGCACCTGATCCAGTGTTGCAGTTTCTGTGCAAACAAATCCCTATCTTGGTGCTTTCCATAACATACTTTGGCAAACAGATGCAATCGAAACTGATTTTAACACATTCCCAGCCTCTGACCAGTCTTGCAGGATAGTTTTCTATGGCAGTTCATACTTAGGTTTTATATACTTTAGGTTTAATAGTATCTTGGGAATCATTTCTGAAATGGAGCAGTTGAGTCTCAGAGTCACAACAGTTAGGTCTATAAGTACATTAGTAATCAGAAAGTGCTGACACCCCCATGTCGCAGGACACCCCCAGTGCCTCTTGATCAGATGGTGATTGGACTGTAAGTCACTTTGGATAAAAGCACCTGCCCAAATGAATGTGCAGTACATGTACAATCTGAATTCAATTGTGATGGAGGGGAGTAGGGATGTTTTCTTAATCTAAATGTGAATTTGTTCAACCAATACAATACTCACTTTTAAAAATGGATGAGTTGGTGTGCTATTGTTCCTGACCTTCAGATGCCCCCAAAGCAGGTCTTCTTCCGTAGATCATGCTTTATTAGTGACAGGAACCTGTTCTTAAAAATCAAATGTGGTTATTTACTTTAAAGCCCAATTTAAGAAGTAAGCACTACCGTGAAATTAGTGTGGGTCATGAATTTTGCCATTCCCTTTCATTTATACCAGGAGGTACCAACTCAGGTCCCAGACAGCTGGTGTGTCTGTGGGTTTGCTGGGTTTGCTTCTTTAATGCAGAAGACCTGGGGGAAGTTGGTAAATGAGTTCAATGAAGTCAGTAAGCATATGTATAAACAAAAAATAAAACAAAACATAAAATGCAACTACAATTAAAATGCAACTACAATTACAATATTTTCGAGCCATTTCCTCTTTACCAGCCACCCTACTTTACAAAATCATGCCCAGAGAGCCAACACTATAGTTGTTTGCTCATTTAGACTCTTTGTAGGGTTGAGCAATATTGACTGTAGTAAATTTCTATAGAGGACAGTTGAAAGATTGTAGTTGCATTTGATTGTAATTTTTCCGGGTTTCCTAGGCCTGTTCTAAAACTGGTACAAACAAAAGAGATTTTGATCTTAGCCATATTTGGCTTCTTACTATATGTACTGTAAGAGTTTGTCTTGCAGTCCCTTCAGTCTGACTGTGACTGCACTGTATGTGACAAGGACAGATCTCTCATTGTAAGGTCCACTGTGCTGCCCTAGTCTGTTTTTTTGACCCACTCATGTTTGCTCATGATGCAGGCTTGCAGTGGCTGAGGTGCAGCATCCTGCCCTTTACTTTCTAACTTTAGGCTGCCTAGTTTCCATGGAAACCAGTCTGGACCTCAAAGCTCTTAAGCAAGAAAGCCAGTTTCCCAAGGTCGCCTGCTGTCGCGGTTTTTGTCGGGGCGCTCATCTCTCATCGCGGATCGTCTTTTTGATTAACTCCTACAGCTCTTCCTGTTTGTCACTCCCTGCCCCTTAAACCGGCGTCTCCCAAAGATATTGCTGCTGTCAGAAGGAGTACGGTATAATTTTGATAAGGATGTGCGACCTTTTTTTTACGGATCGTTCATCACTCTCTCGCGGTCCACTGTTTCCTTTTTGTGAGGCCTGTAGTATTTGATCTGCTGCTCCATTTTCAGCACACTACTTGACTTAATTACGAGGTGACACAGGCAGAAGAAGTTGGGAGGATTAGAAGGCAGGGAAGGGGTTTGTGCAGATAGTCTTGAGCCAATGTAAACAGAGGGATTGACCCTCGATCTGTATGTCATTCCTTCTGGAGCCTGCCTCTCCAACTGTTTTGACTTACTCCACTGGAACGTGTTTTCCTAAGAGTCTGATAGCTGCTCATCTGTGTTAGCTGGCTTCCAAACTCCACCAGCGCGGTAATGAGACCGTGTGAATGGAAGCTCGGTTTTGCATCATGTCAAAGATGGGGGGATGGGGCGGGGGGATTTAACCAAAATAAACATTTCCTCCCAGTTTCCAGAAATCAAAGTGCAACATACTGCAGAAAGAGAACTACAAAAGTGAAATGGATGTTTTCCTTCTTTAAGGTTAAAAAATACTGAGATGGTTACAACTGAGATGAGGCCATTTTGAACCATCTGGTTCTAGACCGACTAAAGCAAGTACATAATTCTGTAAAATCACCTCTACTTCCATAAATTATGCTTAATTAGTCACTGGAAACTATTCTTCAAAATCCTACTGTTATGATGTTGTAGGAGGCTGCAGCATTAAGCGTTGAAGTGAACTTGCTTGATGTGTTTTTTTTTCTGCTGCTATCTTACGGGAGTGGCCGACTCGGCTGAGCAATCTTTATTTGGTTTAGGAAAAACGAATCGAGCAGCTGCAGGGAGGGTGACTGCATACCTCTCCTTCCCGCCTCGTTAGCAGGTGACTTTCCGCCTCCCTGTGGGCTGGAGTGGCCCTCAGCCTCCTCCCTGCTGCCTCCCCGAGTCTTCCTGATCAGGCAGGCAGCTCGTCTTTCACAGTCACATGAGAGGCCCCAGCTTCTGCTTCTGCTTTTGCTTTGTACTGTATTTAAAACCCTCCGGCTGACGTCAGCCCCCCTCTTCCCCTGGGACGTTACCTTGCACATCGCCCGCCTCTGCTGACGGGAGTGTTCACCTTCGCTTGCTCAGACTTGCACACACACACACACACACACACACACACACACACACACACACGTGGACGCACTCTCGGCATCTGCAGTGCCTCTCCCAGTAGTTTTCCGTCCTGCCGCCTCTCCTTTCCCATTCTCCCTTCTCTGCGCTCTACGTTCCTGTCTCGTCCTCTCGACGGAAGTCAGCAGAAGGAATGTGTGATTGGAATATAGCTCTGTGACGGACCGCAGCTCCAGGCATTACATTCTTAAAAGCGGACTAGAGAGGATGAGGAAAACCAGATGCATTTTTATGGATTTAGGCATTCTTTAGGGCTCTTAAGTTCTGCAATAACATTGAGAACATGTTCTGCAAGGATGTAAAAAATCTTTGCATATTCCATTGCATTGCCGTGGTTGAGTGTATTAATATTCCGTGCAGGACTTTATTAGTGGGTTTTTTTATTTTTAGATTTATCAGAAGGGTATACAGCATAACGTAGTAGGATTGGCCCCGTTACCAGCTGATAATACGACTCTTCTGCAGCTTTTGAGCATTGTTCAGAAATATAAATTGGCTCCCATTGCATATTGATTTCAGTCCTCACTGTTTCAAGCTCCTGTGTTTATAAACTAGCACCAGATGTAGATGTTTCAGGCTTATTATCTAGTTTTGAGGCAATATATACAGTGCATATTTTTATTTTATGAAATGCACCAAAGGGTCTGAACCACTTAAAAACCTGTAACCGATCATTGTGCTCTACAGTGGGAATCCTACGTCAATCCCTATTTAAGGTTCCAAACATATGAGGATCTATTAATCAAGCTTTTTTAGGAACTGAAAATTAAGTGAAAAATCTTGGTTCCAGTCTCAGTTTCCATAGGAGTTATGTTGAGAGCTGATCAATAACAAATCTATTATTTCTCTTCCGTGTTTCTCTTCAGATTAGACGTAGACAGGAGACAAAGACTCTTTCTGCAAACAACAGTAACGGTTGCAGCAATCTGAAAAAGACTGCAGGTTTCCTGATTTGATGTGGTGCCTGACCTGAGGATTGGAAAGAACCACTGGTGGTCAGACTCGTGCCAGTGTGATCTCTCAGGAGGCAGATCTGAAGTGTGGTCCCTGGACTGGCCCTCTCCTCAACGGGCAGTTACTGGAGTTTACAGTACTGCTGCAGTGATCCCTTTGCTCTTTTTCAAGAGAATTTATGGCAGGAGCAGCAGACAAACAGGCCATCAGGTGGTGCCGACTACATAGGACAAGCCATAAATATGGACCTGGTAGGCAGAGAGAGGGGTGTGTCAAGGCTGCTGTGGTATTACATCGAGATTTGCAGAGCACTTTAGAGACAAATGAGGAGTAGCCAAAGCATGTACTGTAGATAAAGAGCCCAATGAATCCCTGCCGTCTTCTGCTACACTACATGATACAGGGGGAAAGGGGAACACAAGATACTCTAATCTGTGGATATTCTTGTTTTAAAGGTTGGAATTGCCGATTATTTTTAATACACCCTCCCAGTATGAAATAAACAATTGTCTTTTTTATGTCTCAGTTGGCAGCCATGAGCCCCACAAGCTCACACAGGATAGGATGAAGAAGTATAGAAGTTCCTCCGACCTGTACACGTTCGAGCCATTCACTCCTTTACCACGTCCCTGGCACCTCACTTCCTCTCTCGGGGTTCGTTGATAATCCCTCACCAGCAGCCCTGCGGGTTTCTCTGAGGACCCACAGAGCGGGGCCCGGCCAATGGGACGCTGCCTCATGGGGAATCCCAGTCCCAGTCAGCTAGTACCACGACACAGATTCGAAACCCATGGTCACAAAGCTCAGCTTCTACAGGCTGAGGGACTCGGAAAACGTTGTCTGTGGAACTCCTGTGGGCCAAGAGAAGGCTCAGCTAAAGGACGAAGGGCTCTTTTTTAGTTATTTTTCGGTTCACTCTCCCTGTTCTGTCCTCAGCCAAGTGCCAGCTGTGCGGAGCTGAGGGAGGCATCCTGTGGGTTTCCTCAGAGAGCTCCCCAAGCGCTCCCCTCTGGAGCCCCCGTGGAGTCGTGCTGCCTTGCCTCTCGCTGAGTCTTCCTTTGAGAAGTATGAAGTAAATGGGAAACACGCATGACGTGCCTCCCAGCTGGCGCGACGGAGGCGGGCGCCTTTGATGGCGAAGGCCGGGAGTCGGTCGCAGTGCTTGTTTTGTGTTCATTGTTTGGAGGCTGTTCGTGACTGGCACTGCCCTGTGGCAACAATGCTTTTACTTCCCCGTTACTCTGGCCTGGTGTGGCAGCCTTTGTTGGAATAAGACAGTAAGGAGAAAGTCAGCGAATTTAACTCCTCAGCGAAATTCCTGGGGGTCTTCTCTGTTTTGTGTATTTTTGCAAAATGGTAGTCATTACTTTCCATTTAATTTTCATAACAAATCAAGAGTACCGTACACAAGTGTGACCAGATCCTGGCTGTGACTAGGTTTAGGTACTCTCCCTTTGATAAAAGTCTTCATTTGCGATGCAACAAGAAGGTTGCTCATGGGAGCGTGGATTTATCCTGTTGTGCTCATGGGGCTTAGGTTGACAGGTTCTAATTACCTGTGAGAAGGCAAATCTCACTTCCCTTTGGAAGGCAGGACTCTGTAGCATTTTCAGGGTGTGTGCTGTCTTCGGAGCGCCCAATTGCCATTCGCATGTCTGGCCTCCTCACTTTGCTACACCCCTGCACATGAATGGTACAGTCGCCCCACTCCCCGTCAGTCTGTCTCTGTCTCTCTCTCACTCTCAGGCCCAGCACGCCTCCCTGACCGGTGCTCATGCTCGACGGGTGTTGACACAGCTCGCAGGAAAAGTGGGTCACCAGGAAGCAGACGCAGCTCATGCAGCAATCACAGAGTAGGAGTCCCTTCAAGGTCATATCTGCTTTTCAGATACCAAATTATATATTTAACAAATACAGCTGAAGTTCTTCAATTGGTTGGTAAAATTCCTGGATAAAAATAGTGCCTTGTCTCGTTGCTTCAGATTTTTATTTTGTTTTCACCATACAAATACTGTATATTTGCTGCTGTTGCAAAAGGTGTGATTTATATTTCTTATTTAGCCCTCACAATGTTTTTTTTTTCCTTCCAGAAAACGTTCTCAGTGTGAAATTCACCTGCCACCTTCTTCCTGATGAAGAGGGATCCTTGCAATTTAGTGAGTTTTTCACCTCAAGGAAATGTCTCATAGGAGAGATGTCATATCTCACCTCTGTAACCCTTAATAATGTAATAAAAGAAGCCTGACCAGCCCTGAAGTGAAATCTTAAACATCTTGAAATCTTGAAATAAGGAAAAAGGATTTTCAACAATATCGCATAGCTAGGTGAGTCTTGGTCAGCTGCTTCTTAAATATCTACAGACATCACCTTACATCTTACATCACCTTTAAGCTGGTACCATCTACTCAGTAAAGATGCTCTTTTATTTTCTGAGGGGGAATGGAGTTCTGGGAAACAGGAGATGTGGTGGGCAGTACTGTAGCCAGCCTTTTAAATCAGACATGGCATTGTGAGTCCTCATGCTTCTTATCCTAATTACTAATTTAACTAATTAGCTAGACACGAAGTCAAACCACCTGTATTTGTGTCTTTAAATCAGAGGTTTCCAGCTTTGGTCTTGGAGAGCCCCAGTCCAGTTAATCTTATAGGTTAACGGTGTTTAAACGTGGACAGCACCTGTCTGTCAGCTGTTGATGAATCAGGAAAGTCTGTGCTCAGTTAAAAGAGCTCTAGTAAAGGGCTGAAGAGAATGTAGATTTTCGCCCTAAATGATCTCTAAATTCTTAATTTAACAAATCACCCGTCTATGTGATCACAATAGAGTTGTTTCATGTCTCTACAAACTGGTGGTTTAACGCTGGCCTTATTGGTTGCTAGTTGAAAAGTACCTATAAAATACATCGGACTCCAGCTCTCAAATTCTCAAAACCTTTTCCTTCTGTTGTAAATCACTTTCAGGAGATGCTTTGCAGAAATGTATTTTGCAGGAGATGCTTTGCAGATCCACACTGTTTATTTATGTTTCGATTGCTCTTGCCAGCTTGGAAACCGATATGCCTGAAGTAGACATTAGGCAAGGGGTTCAGGGCTGAGTCTTCAGAAAACATAACCCATGATAATAAGTGCTTTGAAAGTGGTTTTTGGAATTAAAATGATTCAGCTTTCTCAAAAAGCATTTGTTTTCTTAAAAGAGGTGTATTCAAAATCTTCTGGCCCAGAACCATTTCAAAACTCAAACCCCATTGAATGTATCCACACAACAGAAAGTAATTTCAAAATCCACAAATGCAGCTCAGTGTAAACACAAGCATAGCAACAGGGCTTTCTCTGATCTTTTTCTCTCCTTCGCATCTTGTCTTTTATCTAGCATGACAATAAGATCGTGTGCTTCTTGCGTGTTGTTATGAATAAAGTAGTTGAACTTAATCAAGCACAAGACCTGTAATAACATAACTAGGTTTAAAAGTTTTGACATGTAAATTAAATTCCAAACTATGAAATCTCTCCAAATCTTTATTAAAGCAGATCAAAAATGAAGAAACCAGGATTTATAGTGAAACACATAGCGAGGAACACAAGTAGGAAAAAAAGGAGTGGCATTAAAGAATATGAACAGGAGATACACCTTTACATAAAGAGTGGCAGGTGACTGCAACTAGTTGCCCAGCTATAAGAATACCCTGGATGTCTTCATAAAAAAGCTGAGTGAGATGCTTAGATCAGCTTGCTACTGGCAGCCAAGAGAGCAGGTATTCTCCTCTATAATAAGTACATTCTCTTATGTGCTGGTGGGTCTGAAACATTTGGAAGAGGCATCTCACGTATTAAATCCCAGATGTGCACTTTGTCCCTGAGAAGGGGCCTGTCAGATGCTGCCTGTGCTCAGAGGCTCCTGAAGGGATAGGGAGAGAGGAGTGCTGACAACAACAGGCAGGATTTTCCACACAGTTACACAGCTGCAGTCATTGTCCCTCACACCACCTGTGAGAATGGAAAAGGACCGGAGCCTTTTAAAAATGCACCACACTGTCCCCCGGGGAGCCAAACTCTCTTGGGGATTCTTTGAATAGAAATCTCTCTTTATTTTCATGGAGTCATTAAATGATGCAAATGTTTTCAATATCCAGAAAAATGTCAGGTCTCTGTTCATCATAGGTTTTGCTGTTTTGTAAGAAGAGACCATTGTGTGTACACTGAGATCGGGAACAGAGAAAGTAGTGAAAAGGCACATGGGGATGACCTTTAATGTGTTTCTTGTCGTATGAAGAATAGAAACCCATTCACATTGCTGTGTGAATGTGATGTGAGTGATGAAGTGGCAGTTTAAAAAAAAGTGCCTTCCAGAATCTACTGTATGATTTAATTTACAATGTTAAGGAGTATTCCTACTCGTCTGCATGTGATCATAACAAAATCCCCCTGTGACGACGGTGTATTCGGTTGTCTGTCGCCCGCACTTCACAGTTTCTAATAACATCAAATCCCCTAAAAACGAGACAGTGAGGAGGGTGTCGCGACGACTGAACACAGTTTTGTAGCTGTGAGTGGGGAAAAGAGGAATAATGGCGGCCTCTGTAGGGCAGACTCGGAACTGCACCTCCAGGAACCATTGGGACGAAATCGAGAATACTCGTCTGTTAAGAGGCCCTTGCAATATAGCGCCGTTGTGTATTATAATACTGGCCCAATTATTCAACCCCAAGGGAGCTCCCTAGCTGTCTGGGAACCAGAAGAAAACTCTTCATTAGCAGAACAGATCTTAAATATGTTCTGTACTGTCCAAGCCTTTTACTGGCACAAATTGTATTGTTCTAAAGTATCTTTATCGAAATAGTGGAAAATACCTTCTTCAAAGGCCAAGTTTCAATTGCACGATCGAGTCTACTTATGTAAAACCAGAACTTTACATAATAAAAATAAATATCAGCTGATACACTGGAAGCAGAATGACTGTGTTGCATGTCCATCTGTCATGTTTGTTTGCTGGAATTGCAGAACTCATAAGACAGGCTCCTAGTTTGATACACTGTAGGTGTTGGGTAGGGCACCATGTAAAAGCGGTTATTGCTAAGAGCTGGTGATGCGATGTCCGTATTTATAAATACATACAGCTTGTGTAATCCTCAAAGCAGGACCCTACAGATTGCAGAACACGTTGTCTGTAACCCTGTAGAGTTTCTCTAATCAGCCCTTCACACACAAATGTGAAGGAATGCTGGAAAAGGGGTTCGGCTCGGATACGCATATTCTCCTTCCTTCAAGACATTTTACACAGCTAGGTTTCTCGAACTCAACTGCACCAATTTAACAGTCTCTTCCAGCTGTGCTTCTCCCAGTGTTGCTGCTTTAAAGAGAACAGCAGCCATATCACTCTGCAACTCACAACTGGCAGCCCACTGAAGCTCAGCAGGTGTGAGCCTGGTCAGTACCTGAATTAACCAATCACCTCATCCTAATAATCCCCATCTATGAATTGGCTACATTACTCTGCTC